GGACCACTTAGTTCTGTCCACACGCACTGCTGAAGGTGACACGAATTCAATGACAGTTTTCAAGTCATTTATATGTATGAGTGAGTAAATAAGATGCAAATATTAATAAATATTGTGAGCTGGGAAAAAAGTGTGTTTCAAAGTTGCAAAGAGAATAGATTCACTTGAGATATATCTGTGTGTTTTAATTTTTGGATGTAAAGCCCCTGTGCCTGAGGCTGGTGCTACAGATTCAAGCCAGGACCCACCTGTTCAATCCCATAAACTTCTGAATTAGTGGTATACTTCTGTAGCTTCATTTGGAATACATGCACAGCAGTCAGTCTAGAAGAAGAAATAAAAGATTTTCTGTAGTGTACCATTTTAGTTGTTCTGTGGTTGTCATATTTAATAAGACAGTTTAGGCATTTCTTATGCTTAGTTTTTTTTTTAAAATGTAACATTAATATTTATAGATCGCTAACATTCTTTTGACTATTCTTTCCCTCTGTTTTAGTCTCCAGAATCTTTTGACATGGTTTTAAACCAGCTTTTTGGGGACACTAAGGCCACACCTTGTGGTCTGGTGCTTTCCATCAGGCACTTACTGGTCACTCGTTTGTACATGGAACGCTATAAGTCTGGGATTTCTTCATATTCTTCAAGGATCACTCAATACCTTGCACAAATGAAAAATATTAAATAAGAAAAGGTTCCAGCTGTTGAGCTAGCTCCTGTCTCAGAGCAATACTTGGTATTTTTCATTAGTGGGATTCTGGGTGGCTGGGGTGTGGATCTCCTGGAGTCAGCTTCTCTGCCAACGGAAGGTGGCCGGGGGCGGGCGGTGAGTGCGAGGGCAGTGATGCCTGCCCGAATTCTGGATGCATTGCTTTCCAGCAGCTTTGCTCGTTTCTTCTTGTCCTCCTCAAATTACTCTCTGAGTCTCCATAATTTTGTTTTCTTTTTTTTATAAGAAAAAAATAAAAATGATACAGAATTTCATGATAAGATCATAGGAAATTAGTAATGGTTGTAATATTGCATATTTTTAATTAATTTTATTGAGAAAAAATTGCAGTGTGACAGCTTCAAAACAGGTTGGTAGGAGAGGTACAAAAATTAATAAATTGCTTATTATTGTCTTTGTAGTACTCATTCATAGCACAAGATCCAGACATGATATCCTGTCCAAACACTATTTGTACATATTTTTCTTCTTATTGAATTAAGAGAAAGTAGCTATATATTTATCCTAACTATTTCGTATATACAGACACAAAATTGTCCATTTATATCACCTTTTTTGTGCAGTTTTGTCAGAGATGTGTTTTCCATTGCCATCCAAATATTGTAGGTGCATGAATTCAGCAAAATATTCCAATGTAGTCCAGTATTCAACAATAGTACTGGGTTATCCACAGGACTGGCAAAGTCTGAATCTGATGACTTGAGTCTTCCACAGCTCGGCAAATTAACATGGCTTCACTTTTCATACCTCGTTTCTACAATTTTCTGCTGGATGGTTAAGATCAAGATAAAGCAAGACCTATAATAACAAAGAGTGTAACTTTTGTATCTGACACGGTCAGTCAAGTCCCCTCAGGATTTACCCTGTAACCCTGTAACCCTGTACTGCACTTTGTAGATCCTTTGTCAGTGTCAGCCATGTGGATGAGTCATGGCCATTGCTTGACCAATTTGCTCTCCATAATTTTCATGAACTGACTGGGTATACACTTTGCCTTAGAGTCATTCAAATATGTATCATCAGGAAAAGTGAGGAAAACGTGTTTGTGGAGAGGGAACGCCAGGTCAGGCAGGCCCTTTGTGCTGCTTTTCTAGGGCTGCTCTTCCTTGCAAAGCGGGTTTCAGTTATTTCAGTTATTTTAGCGGGAGACAAGGCAGTGGGGCTTCAGCTGTTTTATCTGATGGACTGGTCTTTTCCTTCTCCTTCTCCTGCTCCTTCTTTGTCATCTTGGTTTGCTCTTCTTTCTTATATAGTGTGTTGCTAAAAAAAACCTCTGGGAGTGTCTAGAATGCTTACTTTGATGGTGGGCGTTAGGCTTATGGATACTGTTACAGCTTTTCATTTCTGTCTTGTCTGCCCTGTGATACATGAGATGACAGTCAGATAGGATGGAATTGGGTTTGTTTCTCAGTTCAGCACCCACTTAATACCCAGTTTCCACAGTATTAGAATACCTGTAGGTTTGATTTTCAGAGTGACTTACTGTTTTTTTCTTTCCAATTTGAATTTGGCTTACAATGAGTTAAAAATTAACACAGGATAAATGTAAAGCTCAACAAGTTATTTTGGGAATCTCAGCTCATTTTAAATCCCCATGCAAATCTTGAACAGGTTAGCCTTAGGAATATTAAAATCTCTTCTATTACTTATACTTCCTTTCACAACTTATCTCCAACTGGGAGATAATTTATTTTGAGAAATAATCAATGTAATGAGATTATAATGCACTAAATTAATGTGGAAACCTCAGAGGTCTGTTTCAGTGGCCAAGCACAGTGACCCATTGGAAAAACATCCACTAACAAAGTTAAATAAAATTTACAAAAAGCTGGGACTCAAATGAATCAGTTTTATTTTCATGTTTTGTACTTCAGCCTCATCTGCAATGCAAACTCTTACTTTTACTCTTTGTTGCTGTATGTGGGCATGCGGTAGTTGGGGCCAGGGCTGTTCCTAGTCAGGACTGAGCCAAGCTGCGCTGTAGATTCTTTCGCACTCTGCTTGTCGGTGACGGTTACGGTAGGTGGAACAATCTGCTTGTTAAATGAATGTAATGAACATAGTTTTAGAACATTTTGAGATCTTTAGTATCAATACATGGAAGATGTACATCCCGATAATGAAGGTTCGAACTTAAATCTGCACATTATTCAAACTCTGACCTTTAGTTAAAACACTCTCAAAGATGACGTGTTATTGCTGAATTTTCTCTCCTTTGTCTGTGGACGCATTACATAGAAGTGCTGGTCTTATGTGTTTATTATTTTGAAGTCTTACAAGTGTATTTCTCCTGAAGTTTTCATTTGCAGTTGTGTAAAGTTCACAGAGATAAATGTCAAGAAGAAATACTTAAGAAGGAGAGCTAATATTTTTTAGAGGAGAGAAGGTAGAGAGCACAAAATTATTTAGAATTAAATGAATTGATATGTAAAATAGCTTGTATTAATTCATAGATAAAATACTTAAGTTGTTAGATCTGGTATTAGTTTGATTTGAATGAAGTGAGAAGGAATCAATAAATGGACAAGGTATAGCAATGATCATACGACAGGATAAGTATGTAATAAAGGGACTCAGAACTGTGTTGAAAAGAGTTTAAGTTCCAGAAGTAGAAAAAAGGTTAGATTTGGTGGATGTTTGAGCTGATGGGCGGGGTGTACTCACGTTTCAGTCTCTGAGAAGTCTTCTTGTCTTTCATGGTCCGGCTCGAATCCCCCCATGTCTCCTGTATGCTCTAAGTCCCTCAGTCAATATCAGTGAGATTGCTGAGTTTTCTCTGCACATGGCTTTATCTCGTTTTTGTACTCTTTGCTTCCTTTCCTTGTGGTCGGGTAAATGGTTACCCAGAAGGATCTCAGAGGTTACAGTAAAACCTATGTTAGCCAGACTTTCTGAGTCCCAGTTTATTCATTTGTAGGATGGGAATGGAAATAGGAACTTGTGGTTCTTGTGAGAATTCAATTGAGAGCATGAAGTACCTTGGCTGAATGGGCATGCAACAAGTGTCAGTGTCCTTCCCATTTCTGAGTTTCATGTCTAGTTTGTCCCATGATCTATAAATTCCTATAGGGTGAGACAGGTGTTTTATATTCAAGGTGCCTTTGGCATAGTGGGTTCTAAATGATTATCTGTTGAAGTTAATTTGCTGTACTGCCACAGTTTGGCACTATTTCCATTTTTTCCTCTGTCACCTTGGATTGAGATAGACATGCTGCTTTCATGGAATTGAGGGTTCAATTCAGTAGAATGGCACTCAAATGTGACTTATTCCATAGAGCTTGATATAGTAAGAGTCAAATCATTTCTCTGGAAGCTTAATTATATTCTATAAAATCTTATTAGTCTGTCTCATGGCATCATAGTCTCAGGGGAGTGCTGGCGTGTGAGAGATGGTGAAGTCTCTATCTATAGAAACACAATGGTACAGGATAAGAAGAATTTGGAAACTCGGTGCCACAGAGGGAGCTAATGCAAGTTATGCTACGTGACATTTTCAATCACTAACTCTTCAAGTATGTTCTAATTTACTGAAAAAAACCCAATAATTTAATTTCTTGTGAGCTTCCTTTGCTTAGTTATTAGTTCAGACAGTATTCTTGGTGTACTGTACTTTGTCATTTTGGTATTTAATCTAGTGTCTGACCTAAAAGTAAGCAGGAACATCCTGACTCAGCAGAACTGGCTCCATAACTCATCCGTGTTATGGAGCAGACATGAATAAATGTTTGCTGAACATGCCACATATGCTTCGATCATCACAATGCCAGGGAATGTCTTTTCTTCCTTCTAAAATACAACTCTGAGAGATATTCCTTTCTGAACTTTGTGGCATGACCTAGTCTCCCTACATTTTCTGCAAGGCAAGCCAGATCTTGTGCCCTTACAGCAAAACAGTATGCAAGTAGCTCCCTGTGCATAAGCTCGTGACAGGAGTGTGAGCACTTGTTTAATGTTTCCTTGTTATGTTTTGAAATTATACACTTATATTGTTCTTTAAAATTAGCAGTATATTCTAAAACATAAAATTTATTATTTTTGACAATGACGTATGCTATTTTTCTTATGCAATAAAATGGGTTGTAATTAGGATACTGTTAACTTTGTAATCGTCCCTAATTATTTCCTTGAAAGATAATTAGGTAGCATCTTTAAATCTCTGCACTGGGGACAGAAGAAACCGAGGCTCTTCTTGCTTCTTGCTCTGGGCTTGCTAGCAGGGAACTTGAGAAAAATATACTATTGTCTAATGATGTGCTTTGGTTTTCATTTTCAGTTTCAAAGGACGTTTGAGTCTCTTAAGAACGTTTCCAGCATGCCTGCCCTCCAGAAAGCCTACCAGAAGCTTGGGAAGGAGCTGGAGAACCTGGACTATGTAGCCTTCAAACGTCAGCAGGTAGGAGTCAGCATGCTCCTCTGTGGAGGAGATGTGCGTATGCCGTCCTCCCTGCTGGGCTACATGTGCCAGGCGACCATCTAATGGTCAGGGCAAAGTCCTTATGCTGAGCTGGTCTGCTGTGCTCATTCGGCTTCCTGAAGTGTGCAGTTCTTGTTTTTAGATGCGTGCCTTAAGGGTTTCCACACTTCTTTTTAAAGAAGACACCTGCTGGTTTGTGATGGCCCAACTACACCTCTACTAAGGAGGCCTCACTGGCGAGTAGGGAACCTCTATGGCGTTGGCCAAGTGTGTGGCTTTTATATTTGATGGAATACCTAAGGAGAAAAATCATCCAAAGGCCAGTTAAGGGTTATGGGTGTATACAGAAAATTAAGTGAAACAGTCATAGGTCTGCCAAATTGAGTGTTGGCATTTAGTTTTCTCTTTTGATTTTTAAAAATGAGTGAAACTTTGCTAAATGAGGCAGGGGAAAGGAAAATCCATGTAGCATGTCTAAGTCTTTTGCTTCCTCGTGTAAAGGCTCTAAGAGAAATGCAGAGCGAAAGTAAACATTTACAGAGTTGCTTTTAGAGCTGGTACTTCAAAAACCTAACAGTATTCAGAGTTAAATTCCTTGCGTTGTGGAGGCACTACCTTAAGTACAATGTGGCCAGTAGTTTTTGAAGCCACTAGGGGGCAGGGTTGTCAAGCATTTACTTTGGTTGAGTATTCTGATGGGAAAAGCCAGGGAGACGTTTAAATTAAGTTGAGGGAGATTTGGACTAGAAAAATGACTCTATAGCCAACTGGTGCGGTAGGGCACTGGATCCTTCCCTTGAGAGTCCCAGTGAGACACCCTTGCGGTTGCTTAATCTGCAACTTTTGGATCTTTTGGATGGGGCTTTATTTTCATCTTCCTCTTGATCCTGTTTTCCCAGGAGTTACATTTCTTTTATAGAATGTCTCAAGACAAAAGAATCATCTCTACATATACTTTTATTTATGTAAAAAGAACTCACTGTGCCTTTACATTTTATTTACGTTTTAAATTGGTGCTGGCCTAGGTATTACATACGCAGCAGAGGTCATCACATTACTGACCCTTGAGCTTCATGCTGTGAGTCGCTGCTCTGGCCTACGCAGTTTTTAGTAGTTCATTTCCAGTATCATATTTTTGCCGCCAAAGGGTATTTGAGTGGGCAGGCAAAAGTCACTGTCCTCTTTTCCTGTGCTTTGTCATTAGCACATGTACAGTGCTTAGATTCTTACATTAGCTGGCAGTGTTTGGAAGAAGGTGAACTCTGCAGGGCAGGGGGGAGAGCTCTGGGAAAGGGGCATTTTGAAGAGAGGGAAGCACTTTGCTCATGGGGGTGGACAGGTGCAGCGTCTGCATTTGTGCTGTAAATCATATATGCCCTTTGTTCGGTGACGACCATCTGCACATAGGATGTGCCTTTTATGAATTAAATTGCTAAATATTTCTAGTAATACAGTCAGGTTGTTTTTTTAAGATTGGTTTTATTAACACAATTTTACAGGAGAGAACACTTTTACGAGAGTTAAGTCCTCCAGCAGAACATGAAACTGGGCTTTAAGACCTAAATCATTGTGACTTCAAACCCAGAGTTTCCTAGAGCCGGGGTATGATTTGTCTTTTGTCTCTCATTCTTTTCCTCTAAAATTCCAAAAACTATTAAGCATTCTCAAGAAACTGTTTTTTCTCCTACTGAAGAAGGAGTCTATAAAATTGTTAATTCAGCAAGAAATCTTCATTGCTAGGAGGTTGGATTTTTGTGTCAGAGAATTAATCTGCGTCTGGTCATGGTCCAACCATATTCATCACGGTCTGCTGTGGCAAATGTTAGCCACATAGATAGGCCTCGTCTCTGCCCATTTTCACTGTCTGTTCTTTCCTGTTTCACAATCTGGCCTGCGGGAGATGTTGCATAAATACTCCTGGTGGTGGGGTTGCTAGGGACAGCATGCCGACAGCTTGAGCCTTGGATCCCAGTGGTTGAAATCAGTGTGCTTTGCTTCACTTTTAAGGTTCAGAACAGTGTTAGGCCTTGGCTTCGTGGAGGCCAAATTGCCCCATGCTCTTTGTATTACTGAGATTTTCCTAACACATTTCATTCTTCTATGTGCATCTTTAAGCAAACAGAAAATGCCAGTTTAACTTGGCTCTGGGTCCTGGCTGTCCAATGAGTCAGCTGTAATCACTCTGTGGGGCGCGTTTATTAGATTTTGTGTCTGATTTTTTAATGATTTTTAGGACATTAAAATTTTTTATTTTAAGGAAAACAAAAAGCCCCAGTAAAAATGATGGCATAAAATTTCAAAACAAGATTGTAGGTGAATAAATGGTTAGTACACTGCATATTGCTATAGTCCAAGTAGTTGCTCATATTGCAAGAGATAGGCTAAAAAACTGGTCAAACATGATAGGTATCAGTCTTTCTTTTCAAGCTATTTTAAACATCATTTTTTGAGAGCTTTTGTTCTTAGCACTTTGGATTATTTCTTTCCAGTTTTTTACTTTTCTTTTTTGAAAAGTTGTTGCACTTTCTTTCTTAGCTATACATTTGGTTGTTTTTTAAAAAGAATAAGTGCTTGTTTTAGCTATTCTTTGGGTTATCCCTACATCTCTACATTTTCTTACTTTCAAAGTTAATGATAAAAATAGGTTTGGTTGAGAAAGGTGAGAACAGAGACTGCACTGGATCAGACTGTGGGCAAGATAGGCTGCCCCGCAGGAGTGGGTGGCAGCAGGTGGGACCCGGATCTGGAGCCCTTCAGCCCTGACTGTCTGGCAACGCAGCCTTGGAGGTCCTCTGTGTGATCTGCTTGTTCTTATTTTCCCGGCTAGAGCACCATAGGAATGGGAATGGCAAATTGCAGTCATCATGTGGACCCCAGTGTAGGCATTCTCCTGGAAAGCTTTAAAGCAAGAGACGTTCATGGGGCTTTGCTTTTGTGGAGCAAGGTAAAATCAGGTTTGATAACTTAGATTTTAATTGCATTCTTTCTTCTCTTCTTCTACCCTTAATACTTATGGTAACACTATAAAGCACACTATAGTTCTACAGGCTTTGCAGACCTTTTGGAATAAACTGAAGTTGACATTATTGAGTTGAACATGTAGAGACTAGAACACTTTCCCATGTTGTGAAAATACGTGAAATTAAAATACTGTGCTTCAGATACACACCAGGATGGGACACAACACACACGCCCATGCCTGCCTTGGATCCTGCACAGCATTCTTGCCTTGTGACCTACACACAGCTCACAGAACTTGGTGTTTAGAACACACAGCCCCTTTCCACTTGCTTGTTTCCCTACTGATCACGGCCGAGTTCCTGCTCGGGCGACAGCTGCATCCTGTGTGCTCAGAGTCTTTCATGCCCATAGGTGGTACTGTTCTACATGGTATGTTACTGTCTTTAGTGATGGTGCTCAGGAGTGAACAACTGCTTTTGTTTATTTATTTTTCCACTTACTAAGCTGGGTGACTTACCCCTTTTGGATAACTCCGGGACCTGACAGGTGTGTAGTTGTTTGTGAACTAGAGACACTGCTCTACCTTAAAGAAGGATACATTTGAGTTATTTGTAGGAAAATGGATGCATGTGGAGGCCGTAATGTTGGGTGAAAGAAGTCAGACACACAAGCTTAAATATCACATTAATTCTCTTACATGATGAACCCAAAGTATAAGTAAACAGCAAATAAAAGAAAAGATGAGGCAAGGAGATAGATCTTTTTGCAAAAGGGAAGGGGGTCAGAAGGCAGGGGAAGAGGAGGCAAATGGATAGAAGAATTAAAGCCTGCTATGTGCACACACCAACCCCTGCTATAAGCGTGATGGTTATGCACTGCAACATGTACTAATAAAAATCTAGAAAACAATGAAGTATGATAATATATGAATATTGTTTAGCCTTGAAAAAGAAGGAAGTCCTCTTTGTGACTGTATTGGTAAGCCTAGAGGATAGGCTAAGTGAAATAAGCCAGGCAGAAGCATAAATATTGTGTGATCTGATATATGCGTGAAACCTAGAGAAATCAAATGCACAAGAGCAGAGGGTAGAAGTGGAGTGTCCAGGAACCAGGGGATGGGGAAGCTAGGAGACGGTGGCCACAGGTACAACTGTCAGTCATGAGCTGGGGCTGGGGGCCTGACGTGCATCTGTGTGATGGCTTAATTAACTTGTAATAGTAAATATGTTCATGTCTATCTCAAAGTATCATATAACTTGAATGTAGTCAATTTTTGTCAGTTAATGTATTAATTTTGTCAGTTAAATATTTTAAATTTATAAAAAGAAAAAATCCCAGATGTATAAGTGATGGACCACACACACACACACACACACACACACACACACACACACACACCAACCCTGGGCATGCTCTAGAACTCAAGGATGCCGAAAACTCAGTGTGCAGTGTCTGCCTGCAATCCTGGCTACTTATGCAACACAGTGAGACAAACTCTCAAGCAAAAGCAGCAATAATTCTGAGGACATGGACCCTATAATTCTGTGTAGGGTCCCGTGAAAATAATGATTAATGAAACAAAGCTACATAGTGATAGCTTGCTTATTGGTGTTTTATAGCATGTAGAGAAGAAGGAATGGATAAATCAGTAGCCATCTTCAGCTGTGTAAGCATTTCTAGGAAGAAAAATGTCATGCATCAGGTAGGACAGGGAAATTTGCAATGAGAGTTGTTTATCTGCGTTACAGATTAGACTTAAAATGTCTCCAGAAAGACTTATGTGTTCAGAAATGGGTCTTTTTATTTTTTAAAGCGAATAGAAGTAGTGAATAAGCCATTAGAAACAATATAGGATTTCACTAAACAAAATGATAAGAATTCAACAGCGGTTGTTATATATGGCTTATTGTTGTCTTCAAATTAGTTGTCCAGATTGCTAGATATAAGCATGCAAAATTGGTCAAAAATTATAAAAAATTAAAAAGGAGAGAGGAGAAATTTAAGCATTAACTACTCCT